AGAGACAGGGACTAAGGACTCAGGGGGAAAAAAAGATTTATTTATGGGACCACAAAGATGAAGAACAACTAACCTGGGGAAAAAATCCAAAACAAAACCATGGTCTCTTTGGTTTTTTATTTTATTTCATTTTTTACAACAAAAACATAAAAATGAGTGGCAGTCTCCATAAAAACAAATGTATTTTACAACTTCAAATATATATTTGAAATTGTAAAATACATTTGTAAAAAAACTAAATAACAAAACAAAACAAAACAAAACAAAACAAAACAAAATTTCTTTGTATAAAACAATTTATAATATTATTTAGACCACAAATCCATATGGAAAATTCAGACAACTTAGAAGTAGCAATTCTACTCTCCGTTTAAATTGTTCTTTGGAAAAATCTGTCAGTGATGTAGGGAGACTGTTCCATATCTTTGATCCTCTGTATAACACACTAAACTGCGTTTGAGTTGTACAAGAGTAAGGAGGTCTGATAAGATAACTACTACGAGTTGGATACTGATGAAATTCATTATTAAAAGTAAAAATATTACAAAAGTGCTGGGGAAGTAACTTTTTTATAGACAAAACAAACACATAAAGCAATTTGAAGTTGATTAACTTGATAAACACTAAGAATACTTGCCTGAGGAAACAGTGGTTGGGAGGGGTGTCTACGATTTATACGAAATATTAGTCTTAAAGCTCGCTTCTTAAGTTGAAAAACAGGTTCCAGTTTAGTTGGGTGGGTGCTAGCCCAAGCAACATTACAGTAATTAATATATGGATATAACATTGAATAATATAACATAATTGCAACTTTTTTGTTAATCAGGTGCCGGGTTTTTCCTAGTATACCGACCACTTTGGCTATTTTTGTACTTATGGCACTAATGTGAGGTTTCCAGAATAAAGCATAATCTAGAATAACATCGAGGAAACGAGCAGATCTAACATTATTAATAGAAGTATTATCAATTTGAATTTTCATTGGAGATTTAAATGTATCAAACTTATAAACAAAAAATATGGAACTTGTTTTTTCATGTTTACTGACAATTTGTTGGACTTGAACCAAGAGGATAACTTGTCAAGTTCTTCATTAACTACCTTTATTAAAATTTCAGGGTTTTTATGGGAGTAAAACACACTTGTATCGTCTGCAAATAAAATTTCAAAAAGTTTATCTGAAACATTGGGGAGGTCATTAACATATATTAAAAATAACAAGGGACCCAAGATGGAACCTTGTGGTAAACCACACTGAAGAGGATAGAGAGGAGATTCTGTCCCATTATAGTTTGATACCGGTTTGAAATGTAACTAGTGAACCAGAGTAGTGACTTTTTCGAATTCTGTTTAAAAAACATTTACCTTAGAATTTTTTTTTAACAGAATAATATGGTTAACGGTATCGAATGCTTTTGAAAGATCCAGAAAAATACTTTCTTTTCTATCTTTTGCTTTGTATATTTCAGTCAAAAATTGGACAAGTGCCATGTATGTAGAGTGTTGCTTCCTAAAACCATACTGGCGTGCATATAGAATATTATTTTTGTCCAAATGTTGAATTAATCTTGTGTACACAAGTTTTTCAAGAACGTTGGACAGGGCTGGTAACACTGAAATTGATCTATAATTGTTAATAATAGCAGGGTCATCTTCTTTATAAACTGGTGTAATTTGAGCTATTTTTAACTCTACAGGCACAACTCCTTGGTCTAGAGATAGTATTAAAAATATAGATTAATGTTTTAATGATATAAGGGTTAATTTCTTTTAATATTTTACTGTCAATCATATCATGTCCTGATGAACAGTCTTTTAAATTGATAATTATATCTCTAATTTCATCCTCCGTAACAGAAGTAAGGTTGAATTCCTCAGAAGGTGAAGCATTCATATAATCTAGTGGTCCAAAATGACTAGATGGAATATTGGAAGCTAATGTTGGACCTACATCAGAGAAAAAAGCATTACATTTTTTTGGCAATTTGTTGCGGATCTGAGACAATAGAGTCGGTGATCTTAAATTGGTAACTGCTTTTTAGAATGTTTTTTGTTGAGAGTGGAATTAATGGTTCTCCACAAGGAATATGTATTGTTTTTTGTTCGACTAATTTCACATTGTAATAGTGGATTTTCGCTCCTCTTATGAGATGATTTAGCCTGTTTCTATATTTTTTAAATTGCAACAGATTAAATGGGGTAGGACAAATAATGTATTTCTTATATAGTCTATTTTTGTTTTTCAGCGACATTATGATAGCTGGAGTTATCCATGGTTTGGACTTGCATTATTTAATGATTACATTTCGACATTTTTAGACATCATTTGTTAATGTTTCAATAAAAAATTGGATTTAATATAACAACTGTAACCAGGTTGTCATGTTGACCAATCGAAGCCTCCAAAGAAATGCAGCATTGAAGCAAGCGTCATCACAACCGTTTGGCACATGTGCCTTTGGTCTACCGACTGCTTTCTGCTGACTGCACAGAAACAGCCACATTTTCGGCTCTTCGGTGTTGTCTCGTCTTCTTTTGGACGCAAATATTTGTTTTAAATCTTTTCGCCCACCATGGTACAGGTGGACACAACCAGGAATCAGGGAAGACTGAATGGTGGCAAAAGAGGAAGTGACCGGAAAAAAGAGGAGCGTTAGAATTTCAAAATAAAACAGGAAACGTTGAGACCAAAACAAAACAGACTGACAACAGAACTAAGTGCCACTTTTTTTGTCGCATGGATGAGAAAACCGCTGCTCTGTGATGTCGGAATACATCCCAAAAATGAAAAAAACAACAACTTAAACATCACTTTTATTGAGACACTCAGAAGTAATGAAAGACGCACAGACGGTTGGTCATGCTGAGAGGGACACACATTTATTGATTTATTTGATTGGAGTT